TCGCGACACCCAAGGACGATAGATGCGAGGGGCCGGTGATGAAGGTGAAGTCATCAATGGGCCGGACCTGAGGCTCAGGCTTAGGTCCTTAGGTGTTTTAAAGGTGTCTTCAGGTTGAACCTGAACCCTAAGCCCTTAAGGCTTAGGGCCGGGGCTTGTGGAGGATAATGTGGTGCAAGCGGCCTGAGTTTGTCCATATGACCGACCAAGCAAGAGTAGTTACATGAAGGGAAATTTGGCATGTCTTAGGCCCTGAGCCCTAAGCCGCAACCTAAAACCTAAAACCCGAATCCACCCTAAACCCGAAACACCCTTTAAACATTTGTTTATGCATTCATCTGACCTACATAGACCGATTTCCTAGGAGGCATCCGCACCAAGCAAAAGAAGCGGCTGAGGGTTTAGGGTTTAGAGTTATGGGCTACAGGGTTTAGGGCTTAGGGTTTTGGAGGATTGCACCAGTCGTTCGCGACCAGATCGAACTCGTGTTCAACTCAGGCTTGCCTCCACCGAAAGAACAGCCGAACATATAACAGAACACATAACAATAGTTGACAGGACGAGTCTGAAGATATGCTAGGATGGCCTTTAAACCCCTCCGAACAATGTTCCTAAATATGGTCCTCTTAAACCCAAGAAAGAGAGCATGAAATATCCCAAGGGCCTACCTAGTATGAAAGGAGGAGAGCTGGCTTGAGGACTGCTTTGTAAAGTGAACTGGTTTCCTCATGTTGTGGGACCCCATGGGTGCTGCTTGACTCGTGATTGCCTTGACTTTAAATGCTGAACCAATAGCCCTGAACCCTAAACCCTAAACCTGTAGCCCTAAAGCCTAAACCCTATACTAAAGCCTCAAGCCCGAAAGAAAACAAAAAAAGTAAACCTTGAAACCTGGCACACTTCAAACAGCTCAGCAGGCTACTGCATGCCACCAGCCATGTGGTATAAAGAAGAACATACCGGGCTCGAGGTCAACCACCTCGTTTGGGCAGCTCCAGTAGCAATGGCATGGGGTTTAGGATTTCAGGTGTTTAGGGTTTGGGGGTTTAGGGTTTAGGGATTTTTAGGGTTTTAGGGTTTTAGGGCTTCGGGTTTTAGGGTTTAGGATGTCACGGTTTAGGGTTTCAGGGCTGAGGCTTTAGGGTTTTTGCGGTTTCAGGGTTTCGGGATCAGGAGATCATCAGCATCCGGAGAGTGGATTTGAATACTTGGCATCGGCCGCTCAACGCAAGGTTTGGGATCTAGAAGACGGCCAAAATCTGATGCCACAGACCAGCTTAGACCGGCTTCAGGGAGTGGATTCAATGTTGCTTCCGGCTCTGGGGTATATTTGGGGGAAATAAGGGGGTATATTTGGGGGGTATGGTAGAAGGAGCAAAACACGTGTGGAGAGCACGGACTTGACATGAGGTGTGTTGATTTCTGACGCCTACGCAGGGGAATGTTTTGACTCAGGTTTTTTTTGCACAAGGACTTAAGGAATTAGGGTTTAGGGTTTAGGGTTTAGGGTCCGGGGAAGGTGTAGGATTCGAAGCTTTGAATTGAAGTCTTGACACCTAAATGCTAAAGCCACATCCCAGAACCCTGCCAAAGCCCACCCTAAACCCTAAACCCTGCTGCACTTCATAGGTACACCTTCAGTACTACGGTCAGAAGGGCACCTTGTTGGGGAGCCCCCGGCAATGTCGATACACAACGCCAAGGCACGCCCCCCTTGCTCCCGGGCTGCTGCGCCATCTCCTGCGGCTTGGGGGTTTGGGTTTAGGGTATAGGGTTTAGGGTTCTTCCCTTGTGGCCCTTATAAAATTGTACTAGAATATTGAAATTATTGAGGCCCCTATAGCAGGTGGTTTAGCTGGTTGATTCGGATTCAGGGTTTAGGGTTTATAGGTTTCAGTGTTTGCGTGTTTGCGTGTTTGCGTGTTTGCGTGTTTGCGTGTTTGCGTGTTTGCGTGTGTGTGTGTGTGTGTGTGTGTGTGTGTGTGTGTGTGTGTGTGTGTGTGTGTGTGTGTGTGTGTGTGTGTGTGTGTGTGTGTGTGTGTGTGTGTGTGTGTGTGCGTGTGTGTGTGTGTGTGTGTGTGTGTGTGTGTGTGTCTGTGTCTGTGTCGGTGTCTGTGTCTGTGTCTGTGTCTGTGTCTGTGTCTGTGTCTGTGTCTGTGTCTGTGTCTGTGTCTGTGTCTGTGTCTGTGTCTGTGTCTGTGTCTGTGTCTGTGTCTGTGTCTGTGTCTGTGTCTGTGTCTGTGTCTGTGTTGTGTCTGTGTCTGTGTCTGTGTCTGTGTCTGTGTGTCTGTGTCTGTGTCTGTGTCTGTGTCTGTGTCTGTGTCTGTGTCTGTGTCTGTGTCTGTGTCTGTGTCTGTGTCTGTGTCTGTGTCTGTGTCTGTGTCTGTGTCTGTGTCTGTGTCTGTGTCTGTGTCTGTGTCTGTGTCTGTGTCTGTGTCTGTGTCTGTGTCTGTGTCTGTGTCTGTGTCTGTGTCTGTGTCTGTGTCTGTGTCTGTGTCTGTGTCTGTGTCTGTGTCTGTGTCTGTGTCTGTGTCTGTGTCTGTGTCTGTGTCTGTGTCTGTGTCTGTGTCTGTGTCTGTGTGTGTGTGTGCGTGCGCGTGCGCGTGCGCGTGCGCGCGTGCGCGTGCGCGTGCGCGTGCGCGTGTGCGTGTGCGTGTGCGTGCGTGCTTGTGTGTGTGTTATATATATATATATATTTTTTTTTTCTTTTCTGGTTCTTCTTCTTCTTCTTGCAAATGTGCTGCCGTATGAAGCAGCTCTCGGCGCTCAAGCTCTTCTTTATCCGGCCTCTTTCTTCTTCGCTCGCCGATGATGGTAAGCCCAGAAGCAGAATAGAAGGCTTAGGGTGTGGGGTTGATGATTGCCAAAGGCTATATCAGGCCCTAAACCCTAAACCCTAAACCCTAAACCCTAAACCCTAAACCCTAAAGCTTAAACCTCAGCTGTATGCACTCCGAAGACCGAAGCCCTGAACGTACAAGCCGAAACCCCAAAACAAAACCTGAAGCGTATAAACCCACAACCCCAGAGCTGTTACAGTGGCCCTAAACCCTAAACGCCAAACCCTAAACCCCAAACCCAAAGGGTTGCCCCAAAACGTCTCCTCCAACCGAGCCCAAGCCTCCTCCTCCGGCATCTCGCCTGGATTCGGGCTTGAAGGTTACGGTTTTTTGGGGGCTTAGGGCTTAGGGCTTGGGGTTTGGGGTTTTTGGGGTTTAGGGTTTAGGGCTTGGGGTTTACGGCTCTAGGGGTCTGATAAGGTTGGGCTTCAGGGTTTCCTGAGGGTTTGGTGGCCTCTTGGGTGGGTTTAGGGCCGACGTGAAGTGCCAGGAGGTTGGCCCAAGGTGAGACAGGGCTGGTGTGAAGGGTTTAGGGTTTGGGGCTTGGGATGGTTTTAGGGTTTAGGGTTTAGGGTTTAGGGTTCAGGGTGTGAACGCTACAATAGATGTGTTGTTGTCGTGTGGCCAGGGTCATGTTTCTAAGTCCGACTGCGCGATCGCGCCATCTCCAAGCCGATCTTATGACTAGGCCTGAAGGGCCCACGCGAACTAAACATAGTGCTGAAAACTTCGTCACTCCGTCTACCACGAAAATACACAAGGGGTCCTTACCCTAAACCCTAAACAAACCCTAGGTCTCTTCCTCAACTAAGGAGTATTGGGCTCTCTGGGAACTCGTAGGAATATGCATAAATATGTATGTATGTATATATACATATACATATATGCATGCATACTTTTTTGTTGAGGGGTTCTTAAGCAATTAGTAATTAGTCAACTTGCTCCCGAGAGGCAAAGTGTCTTCAGCTTGTCGCAGGACATATCCTCATGGCTTCATGCAGCAGGCATGCTGACGTGGTTGCAGTCACCGTGCCAGCAACCGCGACAAACCCTGAACTCTAAACCCTAAACCCCTAACACCCTAAAACCCTAAAGCCCTAAAACCCTAACGCCCAAAACCCTAAAGAAGGGCCTTCCTGCTTTCGGATGGGTTGAGGTTCGGGGCTGGACAGAAAAAGAAGAGTACATTTTCTCGAAGACTTTCATAGAAAGGCCCTGGAGACAATGTTTGGGCTGGCGTAGGGTTTAGGGTTTAGGGTTTAGGGTTTAGGGTTTAGGGTTTAGGGTTTAGGGTTTAGGGTTTAGGGTTTAGGGTTTAGGGTTTAGGGTTTAGGGTTTAGGGTTTAGGGTTTAGGGTTTAGGGTTTAGGGTTTAGGGTTTAGGTTGTAGGGTTTAGGGTTTAGGGTTTAGGGTTTAGGGTTTAGGGTTTAGGGTTTAGGGTTTAGGGTTTAGGGTTTAGGGTTTAGGGTTTAGGGTTTAGGGTTTAGGGTTTAGGGTTTAGGGTTTAGGGTTTAGGGTTTAGGGTTTTGGGTTTAGGGCTTAGGGTTTAGGGTTTTCCGAGCTGGAAGCTGACGTATTTAGCCTACTCAGTCCCCCCTAGAAACCCTACTAGAATCCTGCAACCCACCTTACTAGCCCTACTTACGAAGTCAAATGGGCTGGCAAGTAGGCTCGGGGGATTTTCGGGTTGAAAGGGTTTTGAGATGCTTTAGGATTGCTTTAGGGGTGATTGGAGGGGGAGAGAGGGGAGGGGATGGTGTAGAGACTTTGTGACCACAAGGTGCCCCCCGCCACTGTTCATAGAGCCCCCTTTTTTTCGCTTCTTGCTCCAGCAGCCCCTTAGGTTTAGCAAAGGGAAAACGTTTGGGGTGTAGGAATCTTCGATGCAAGCAAAATAAGCTATATATACCTAAGCTCTGCTTCACAGATTCGGGTACTTTTGGCATATGCATCACTGTCATTTTTTCGTACCGACTCGACCAAGGGCTGTTGACAACATGAAGGCCGCACGGGTGAAGCAGCATCACATCAATCCAAAGAGCGCACCAACAGCTAGGCGCTTCCGCGTGCAAAACATTCAATCTTCATGCTGAACTCTTCAGAATCCTTACGACTTCATCCGGGCCCTTCTTTCTCGCTTTGTCCAATGGAGTCTCGCCATCATTGTCCTTCACCGGAGGCGTTCGCCTCGAGGAGCAGCTTCACCACCTCCACCCGCCTTCCGTACGGAGCGCGGAAGGTCGCCACATGCAGTGGGGTTTCATTGAAGGTTATGCTAATGGCGTCCACTTCGGCCTTCGCCGCCAAGAGCACCCGGCAGATCTCCACGTGGCCGTTGCCCGCCGCCGCGTGCAGCGCGCTCCAGCCGCCGCTCCCAACCGTGTTCATCCCTATCGGCCCGGGGGGTTCCGACCGCAGCAGGTGCCGCACGGCGCCGAGTTTGCCCCGCTTGGCCGCAGTGACGATGTGGAAAGTGCATTCTTTTGCTTCTTTCTCATCCTCCGCTGCCTGGTCTACTACAACGACCGTCAGTGTGGTGCCAGGCACGATATTTTCTTCTACGAGCATCTTCTCTTCGTTCAGCAGCTCCATGTTGGGACCAATTAAGTTCTTTATCGAAATATCCGCAGTTTTTGCTGAGCCTCTTCCTTCAGCTGTCGGATGGTCCGGTCTGGCAGCCACAGGCATTCACTGTGTTTGCCGCTCAGCAGAGCCACGACAACCTTCGCAACCTCGTCCCCGTCCTTTGCAAGGTGAGGTGTCTTGCCTGGGCCTGGCGAGGCTCTGTCGGGTCGACCTTGCTGGCATCTGTCCTCGCCCCTGCTTGAATCCTTGCGGCCTCTGGAGATTCTCCAGGCTCCCGGGGCTCCTGAGACTGGCGCGCATGAGCAGAACCGCCACTGCCCATGGTCAGCAGGCTGCCCAGCTCAACTCTCGGACTGGCAGCACTCGCGCAGCCATGCAGCTGCTAGGAGTCGACATATGCAGCACTGTCAATGTACAAAATCTATTTCTGCTATGCCCAATCTAGGGTTTAGGGTGCGGTTCACAAACATGACAGCATTCTCAAACGGTCCAATTTGGAGAGTGCGTCGCAGTTGCACTCTGGGCCTGTGTTCTCCATTGAAACTAGTTCAGGCTTCCCTGTGGTTGGGGTGCCTGGGCGGGGCTGTACAGGGTCCCAAGCCCCCTAAACCCTAAACCCTAATTGGGGGTAGGGGATGGTGGGATGATCCCCACCCCCCTGACAGACCCTACCACTGCCTTGCACGCAGGAAGTTGTATTTCTGGGCTGTTCTGCACTTCGGGGATTCTGCACTTCGGGGACCCTTTGGAGATCCGTTGTCTATGATAGGAGGATGACTTGCACGAGAACCGACCCAGCAACCCCCCCCCCCCCCCTTACATGTAGAAGTCAGGCCAAGCATGCTGAACTCAACCTGCAAGACTCGCCATTGCACATACGCACACGCACGTCCACGCAAGACATGTTTCCCCGAAGTGTCAGACGTGTGAGTCATCGACGCGAAAATCCCAAAACAAACGCAGCCACAAGCAACCTCGACCCACCTGAGCCCACTCTCTGAACCCCTTGTGGTTTAGGGCTTAGGGCTTGTTTCTTCCAGCCACCATCGGAAGAAGCGTTCGTCGCAGACATCTCCACCTGACGAAGTCAGGTCTTCCTCAGGACTCCCCGCCACCCAGCCAGGTAAGTACGATGGTGGCCCCCGAATGGTCGTCGTTCGATACCCTCCCTCATGGAGGGCCTTTTCAGCCTTGGCTGTTTTGTAGTCGGTCTCGTAGACCTGCCTGAGTTGCGCAGGCTCCGCGTCGGGGCTTGGAACTTTTGCAACCCTCGGGCAGAGTAAAGTTAGACTTGCCATGGTTTTCAGTACTGAGCTAGTCTAGGAACACAATTCTTCGCCTAAACCTTGGCCGCAGCCCTTCCTCCGAGCTGCACAAGCACACAGCCCACTCGCCTGGCGCGCAGGAGGCCCAAACCCCCCTGCAGGATGGAGGCCTCCGCAGAGTTTGCAAAGATGGTGAGGGCGTCCACCCACTGAAAGCCCGCCTTCTCCACCTCCTTGACTAAGGTGACTTAGGCCCTGTTTCATGAGGGTCTGGGCGGACACTGTGCGGAGGTAGGGCTGCTTCAAAACAGGAGCAAGACATGTAGATGCCCTAAACCGTAAATTTTGAACCCTAAACCCTAAACCCTAAACCCTAAACCCTAAACCCTAAGCCCTAAGCCCTAAGCCCTAAGCCCTAAACCCTAAACCCTAAACCCTACTTGAAGGTTCATGGTACTTACTAACCAATTATAACTGGGCTTATAACCCTACTTATAATTGGGATAACCCCTATAAGGCCCTTTAGGGGTATTATAAGTAGGGATATAAGTACAGTTATAACTGGTTAGTAAGTACCATGAACCTTCAAGTAAACCCTAAACCCTAAACCCTAAACCCTAAACCCTAAACCCTAAACCCTAAACCCTAAACCCTCTAGGCCCAGCTTCGTCATCCAGGGTGGAGCCTTGGAAGGTCGCGGACACATTTCGCGCCCGGTTGAAGGGGTCGTTGTTCTTCGGATCTGGCACGAAGCCAGCGAAGGTCACCACGCCATGCTGCAACGACCCGCCTGACCCCAGGGCTTTTTGACGTTAATAAGAAGCCCTAAATTTAGGGTTTGGAACGTTAAAAATTTAGGGTTTTTGAACATTAAAACACCAAAATTTCGGGTTGTTGAACGTTAAAACACAGAAAAATGGGTTTTTTTTGACGTGCAAAAACCCCTCCATGCGCCTGACCCCAGGGCCAGGCTGCTGGCCAGTATCTGTGTCCTGTTGGACGCATCGATCTCAGAGGTCAGCAGGCCGTTGATGCGGAAGGTCTCCGCCATCCTTTCAGCCTGGCCAGGGTGCGCCTCAACCGCCAGGCCATGAAGGCGTCCTTTCCTTACTGCTGGTGAGTGGGGGATGGGGGAATACAGGGTGCCCTCTGTAATCCCTTAAAGGGTATATATATATATGTATATATGTATATATACATAGGGCCCTAATTCCCTATATAATCCCTTAAAGGGTGTATATAGGGTCCCCATAATTCCCTTAAAGGGTATACATAGGGGCCCTACAAGTACTTCCCTCCTTCCCTGCTAATGAGCATTAAGTTTCAGTATGAAGGCCGCCGCCATCATGCAGTCCCCCAGTGCCGCCCCCACATCAACATAGCGGAGTGGCCGCTTCGCAACCTTGGGGGCGGCCCAGTGACCATCTTATATGAAGGGTTAACCCTAAACCCTAAACCCTAAACCCTAAACCCTAAACCCTAAACCCTAAACCCTAAACCCTAAACCCTAAACCCTAAACCCTAAACCCTAAACCCTGAACCCTAAAAGGGAACATAAGGGGGACCTTCAACTTGAACCAACAAAATGGAAAAGGGTAACCACTGGGCTACCAAGCAACAGCACGGCCGACGTCCGAAAGCCTCTGAAGCATCACGATGACCGATTCATGGCAAGTGATCCCGCAGTTGCGGATCCTATCGCTGAGATATGCACGCCCAGACCTGGCTTCAGGGTTATTTAGGGTTTAGGGTTTAGGCTTTTCAGGCTGAGTTTCAGCAGCCGTGGAGAGAATACTCATTGCTGGTATCCCCCGAGATGTCACCTCATTTATACACGAACCGATATGTATACAAGGAACAGTCAAGGCAGTTGGGTTCAGCATGTGACTGTTATCGGTGAGGGCACATATGGTAATATGGCGCCTTGACTGGCTGGTTTAGGGTTTAGGGCTGCTTGTTGAATGAACATAAAGGGTGCAGCGGGCTTGTGGACTGGCTTGCTGCTTCGTCTGGATGAGCAACAGAATCCGAACACAGAACACATGTACGGGTTTGGGGTTTGGGGTTTGGGGTTTAGGGAATAGGGCTAACCCTAAACCCTAAACCCCAAACCCTATAGGGTTTAGGAGGGCTCTTGCTCATAACGGGAGCTGCGCGGCTGGATGCGGAACACGCTGAGGGCACTCCCCGAGCTGCTATTGGGCGTCAGCTGCGCAGCGGAAGCGGCTTGGCCTGCCCTGGTCGCGGCGTCGATGCCCCAGTACCTTGAAGGGCTTAGGGGTTTGGAGCTGAGGGTTTAGGGTTTAGGGTTTAGGGTTTAGGGTTTAGGGTTTAGGGTTTAGGGTTTAGGGTTTAGGGTTTAGGGTTTAGGGTTTAGGTTTAGGGTTTAGGGGTGTATTACTACTGTTGTGAGTAGTATGGCTTGCTATAGCTTATTCTTAATTTAATTCTTATCCATCATTGTCTTGTGAACTCTTAACTAGCATTGTGGTGATTATCCTTCCTGATCGTTTTCTTTATTCTTGATTCTTTTCAGTATTCATGGATCTCTGAAAGGGTTGTTGTATAAAAGCTCCTGGTCAACATGCTCCCTTCCCGCCGCCTGGTGCAGTGCCTGGCCCTGCAAGACGAGGTGGCCAGCGTCCCCGGAACCATTGCAGGCAAACCTCGGATGGCCCTTAGAAGACCCTCTGAGAGAGTATTCCTAAATATGACCCTCTTTGTCAGACCCTCTGAGAAATTTTCCTAAATATGACCCTCTTAAGCCCAAGAAGGAAGAAATACATAAAATGTCCCAAAAGCCTACCTAGAGACAGAGGAGGATGCCATCGGGCAGCAGAAAGTCATCGAGTCGGCGGAAGAGTTCCGGTGCCTGGGGATCTGCGAGCAGCAAGGCGACGGCATCCCAGGCGTTGAAGCCCACGGACAGGGCCGCGCGCGACCAGCCCCGTAGCAAGTCTTCCACAGTGGCTGCGGCTGCGACTCTCTCCTGCCAGGAGGCGCTCAGAAGGCTCTCTTCGAAGACCTCCACTGCGGCGAGGAGCACTTCAGATACCTCCGAGGCTGTGCGCCGCTGGTCGTCCGCCAACATGGGGTGCAGGGCCGAAGAGAGGTTCTGCGACATCCCCCGCTTTTGGAGATAGGCCAGGAAGGCTTTGGACAAGCGCTCCAGCAGGCCGAAGGTGTTCCAGCCTGCCGAATGCACCGCGGACCAGCTGGGCCCGTGGTTCAAGAGAAGGTCGCTGAAGAGAGACGTGCCTCTGTAGCCTTGGTAGTCTAGTAAACGTACTACAATAAGGGCACCCTTTTTTGGAGTTGTTTAGGGTTTAGGGTTTAGGGTTTAGGGTTTAGGGTTTAGGGTTTAGGGTTTAGGGTTTAGGGTTTAGGGTTTAGGGTTTAGGGTTTTGGAGTTGTTTACTTCATTATAAGGGAACCCATAACCGAAACAAAAGGGCATAAAAGGGTATCAAGGGGGATACCAAGCAGCTGAATAACATCGCTACCGGGCTGTGCATGCCCGATGCGGCTCCGAAGTTTCGTGCCCAGTCCTCACCCGCCCCTTCCTCGAACATGAACTTCTCCACCTTAAGGTCGCCCCAGTAACCATGTTCTAGTAGGGGTACCTATTTTCTTTTCTTTATTAGTTGTTATTTATTTATTATATATGTTTTTTTTGGTGGGGGGGGGGGGTTTGGTTCCTTTCATGATAAGGGACGCCCATTACCCCCCCCCCCCCCCCCCCAAAAAAAAAAAAATAGACATAATAAATTAGATAAACAAAAGAGATACACATATGTATATAATAAGGTACTCCACTGGGCTACCCCAAGCCACCGTGAGGAGCTCCATCGTCCAGCGGGCGGCGGGACAGGCATCCTGGGTCATCAAGTCCAAGAACTTCTCGCTGGAGATGTCGCCAGACCTGGGGCGTAGGCTTGGCAATTTTGGGGCCCTACAACAAACCAAGCTCTTCCCTCTTTTTTGTTGTATTTGGCTTTGTAAGGATCATGTGGGGGATTAAGGGTAAGAAAAGAAGTAGAAACAAAAAACCCTAAACCCTAAACCCTAAACCCTGAACCCTGAACCCTAAACCCTAAACCCTAAAAATATGCTCAAACCTGCCCCTGAGACAGGATGACGTGAAAGAGCCAGCTGTGCTTGAGCTTGTTGCCAATCTGCCCCTTGAGCCGCTTCGTGACGTCCACCTGCTCTGCCGGCTGTCCTGGCGGTTTGGGGTTTAGGGTTTAGGGTTTTAGGGTTATAGGGTTATAGGGTTATAGGGTTATAGGGTTATAGGGTTGTAGGGTTATAGGGTTTCGGGACGAGGTTTTCCCCATGGTCTGGGCGTAGGTAGGCCCGAGCCCAAACGCAAAAGTCAATAATTCTGAGCTACATTGGGAGGTTCCCCCTTTACCTAACAGTCCTTCACAGGAAAAAATATCCCTTACTATACTCCCGATTAAGGACTGCTAGTATAGGAGACAACATCCATTATTAATTATTATGACTTACAGAGTTCCTGGGCAGCTCCATGCAGGTGATGTGCGTGGCCGCCTGCCGACCAAGGCCCGGATCAAGAGAAAGAAGCTCAGCCGAAGCGACATGGCTGTCAAGGCTCATAGGGCCTAGAGGGTACGCAGGGTATATAGGGCATATAGGGCATGCCGAATATGTAGGATTCTTATGGCTAGTAAGGAGCGAAGCTTATCAAGGAGGGTGTGGGCGCGGGTTCGCCTACTCATGGAGTGAGGGCTTTCTCTTGAAAGGGAACTCGCTGTATGGAAGCGTAGAAGGTGCTAGGGTCAGCTAGAGTCAGCCGCGGGTTATGTTCTTCAACCCTAAACCCCAAACCCCAAACCCCAAACCCCAAACCCTAAACCCGAATTCCAAAACCCTAAACCCTAAACCCTAAACCCTCAACCGTTCAGGGTACAATAATGTGTTTATTCTCTTGGGTTTTATATGAACAAAAAGAAAGAATCCCAAGGGGGATACAGGTCCAGAGGCGCTCCCCCAAAGGCATCCTTGCAGGCCGAGCCAAACGGCTGCCCGAGCAGGCACTGGGATTTCGGTAAAGGATAGTGTAGAAACCCTAAACCCTAAACCCTAAACCCTAAACCCTAAACCCTAAACCTCTAGGTAGCAGCTGGCCGCGGATGAGAGCCGCAAGTTGCAAGCTTGACAGTTCAGCCTTTAGGGTTTTGGGTTCATAGGGTATATAGGGTATGTATGGTCGGTTTAGGGTTTAGGGTTTAGGGTTTAGGGTTTAGGGTTTAGGGTTTAGGGTTTCGGGTTTAGGGTTTAGGGTTCATAGGGTATGTAGGATATGCAGGCTTCATAGTATGCGTGGTATATAGGGTACGTACATGGAATACAGGGTTTTCACGGGTTCTAGAGTTTTGAGGGAATACAGGGCTTCGGGTTTAGGCTTAGGGTTTAGGGTGAATAGACACCCGGGTTGTGCGTAGTCTTCCTGCGCCATGCTTGTGCTCTGCACACCGCCATCTCTTCCATGAGAGCTCCTGGTACTTGATGGCGCGCTCGCGGTGCAATTTGTGCTCACTACTCGGCAAATTGCTCCATCTACCGTGTATTCAAGTTCGGTCAAGGTTGTGGGGTCCTGCCGGTCTTGGGATGTGATTTAGGGGTTTAGGGGTGTAGGTGTTTTGGGGCGTTGCAGAGGCTCAACCCTTAAATTACCTACCGTGTACCATCGTTGATGCTTGCAAGCTTTCCATGTTAAACCCTAAACCATGAACCCTACACCCTAAACGCATAACCCTAAACCCTAAACCCGAAACCCTAAACGCAAAACCCTAAACCCTAAACCCTAAACCCTAAACCCTAAACCCTAAGCCCTAAGCCCTAAGCCCTAAACCGCTTCAAGGCGAGAGGCCGGGCTGCGGAGCACCGTGGAGCTGGATGGGAAGGTGTCTGGAGGGAAAACGATGACCTGTCAGAAGTACCCTAAACCCTAGACCCTAAACCCGAAACCCGAAACCGTCGTTATGGCTGCACTTTGCAGGGTAGCTATATATACATTTAATGTTTAGCTGCCTTATTAAGCTAAGGATCTAAAATTGCAGTAAAGCACCACAGAGTATGGCATGTACTTGGGCCTTAAAGAGGCTTAGGGTTTAATTAGGGTTTTAGGGTTCCTATATAGGAGCCTTAGGGCCAAGTATTAAGTGCTTATACATAGGTACATGGATCTTCAAGGAAAGGAGCTTGCGGAAATGTCCCTTGTCTCGGAGATGCGAAAGAAGTAGCTCCCTGTTGATAACTGCAGGGACTGGGACAGCTCGGAGGTTCATGGTAGTTAGTAAGCCATTCATAACTGTACCTACAACCCAATTATAGCCCCATTGGGGTACTTAAGGGGCTGATGACTACACTCCAAGTAAACCTAGGTTGTCCCCCGGGCGGAAGTCACCTGCGGCTCACTAATCCAAAGTTCCCACTGATCAAAAAGATCCCAGTTGCTGCGTACCCTGGGCCAGAAAGGTTTAACCTTTCAACTATGGTAGGGATATATGAAGTAGGGTTTATATTACTGTTCTTGGTGAGTGTATATAAGGTTCCCTTCTAATATTGGTGAGTGTATATATTGGGTGTCCTTTTGGGGATACAAGAAATATATACCCTGCTTCATATATGCCCCAAAAGTTTAAAGGCTACCTACTCAGCTACTAAGAGGTTCACAGAACTTCACAGGCCGTGTCATCGTGCAGCCCGCGCCCTCTTGCGACCCACCACGCCGCAGAGCCCAGTGTCACACAGCCGCTTGCACTTCCTGAGAGAGGGTTTAGGGTTTAGGGTTTAGGGTTTAGGGTTTAGGGTTTAGGGCTTAGGGTTTAGGGTTTAGAACTTGCAAAACGAGAGAGCTCCCCTAAAACAACGCACCCCAGGACCGAAAGAGACACACAGCAGGTACATGCTCCCATGCCCCCAAAAATGTGACGGCTAGGAATCCCTCATAAGGATATATATGTCTTATATATATATATATGTAGATGAAAATAAAGAGAAGCTCAGTGGAATATAGATATAGCCTCCCCGAAAAGCCTAAACGTCCCCCCCAAGACCCGAAATTTACGCAGCAGCCAGCCCTGCGCCCTGATCTGATTGTTTGAAGGTCAGGCCTTTTAAGGGGCGTTCAGGGTTTCTACCCTGAACACCTAGAACAGGATTGAGGAGGGATCTAGGGAGGTCGAGGCAGTTGAGCCTGCTACAGGAAAGGATGCTGAGGCGAACTGACTCTGAACTCCACAACTTGGATTACTATAGTACTGTAAGTCGCCAACCTTGCCCGAGACGTCTCCTGCCTTGTCTCCTAAAGTTGAGCATGAATCGCTCTAAAACCCTAAGCCCGAAACCCTGAACCCGATTCCCTAAACCCATAAATCCGAAGAAAGCTCACGGACTCCTGGGGGGAGGTTGGGGGGGGGGGTGTTGGTGCACATTTGGGGGAGCGTGGCTTGCCCCGAAGTGGAGATGAGTGTCGACACATCTCGGTGAAGAGAGTTCCTTAGTAGCCCAGTAACCACATATTAATGGTTACAATAAGGGCTCCCATTTTCTTTGGTTGGTTACTTTATAAGGGAAACCAGAACCAAAAAAAAAAAAAAAGGGGTAAAGGGTACCATTGGGCTACCAAGTTTCACAATGTGCAGACCCTCCCGGCCGCACAGCGTCCTGGGCACAGATGGGTAAGGAAACTCCAATTGTAGGGTTTAGGGTTTAGGGTTTAGGGTTTAGGGTTTAGGGTCTAGGGTCTAGGGTCTAGGGTTTAGGGTTTAGGGTTTGGGGTTTGGGGTTTGGGGTTTAGGGTGACTGGGGAACAAACTTCCGTCAATGACATTGGGACATGATTGCACATGAGGGAAGATTCCCAAATTATGGGATATTGCAGCCCTAAGCCCTTACCTCCCCTTTCTCCTTAGTTAAGGGATATTGGCGTCTCTGGGCTTTCAACCACGGAGGCAACAGGACCAATGGAATCACGGACAGGTGGGGGGCTGGTTCCTTAGAGCGCTAGCTGTCGGCCTTGAAGGGAGTACTTGGAGGTTCAGGGTACTTAATAACCCAATGATACGTGTGTGTATCACCCACTATCAGCCCCTTAAATACCCGAAGAGGGTTATCTTGGGTTAGAAGTACAGTTATAACTGCGTAAGTACCATGAACCTATTCGGGTTTAGGGTCGAGGGTTTAGTGTTTAGGGTTTAGGGTTACCCTCAACCCTAAACCCAAAACCCTTTGTGAAGAGCCATCAAGTGAACCATGGTCGCCGAGGTGCGCCTTCACGCCGTTCCCGACGGACATGATGTGCATCATGTATCCTGGCTAGGGTTTAGGGTTTAGGGTTTAGGGTTTAGGGTTTAGGGTTTAGGGTTTAGGGTTTAGGGTTTAGGGTTTAGGGTTTAGGGTTTAGGGTTTAGGGTTTAGGGTTTAGGGTTTAGGGTTTAGGGTTTAGGGTCTGGGGTCTGGGGTCTAGGGTTTAGGGTTTAGGGTTTAGGGTTGAGGGTTCACGTATCCTGGGGCTTGACAGAGTCGCGAGGGCAGGCACAATGGCAGTTATAGCCTTCAGTGCTGAGTTCATAAACGCCCACCCCCCCACCCGCCCCACCCCCCCCCACCCCCCCGCCCACCCCCCACCCCATCCCCCCCCCCCCCCCCACCCCCCCCCACCCCCCCCCCACCCCCCCCCACCCCCCCCACCCCCCCCCACCCCCCCCCCCCCCCCCACCACCCCCCCCCCCCCCCCCCCCCCACACCCCCCCCTCCCCCACCCGCCCCCCCCCCCCCCCCCCCCCCACCCCCCCCCCCCCACCCCCCCCCCCCCACCCCCCTCCCCCCCAAAAAAAAAGGACACGTGCAGTTATCTAGGGGATGATGGCATCGCCAAAAAATGCAAAGTGTACTCCTTCAGCTACTAAGACAATGGCAGTTGTAAGGCACGTCCCTGAATTCTTTGCGGCCTGCAAGCTTAGAGTCTTTTGTCGATAGGTTTAGGGTTTCGGGTTTAGGGTTTAGGGTTTAGGGTTTTCAAACCTATAGCTTTGTGGTCAGCAGCCCGAAGAGGGCTTGGACGGCCTGGTTCAAGCAGGACAATGCCAGCAACACCCCTAAAACCCCCTCAAACCCTAAACCCCAAACCCCAAACCCCAAACCCCCCAAACCCCCCAAACCCCAAACCCCCCAAACCCCAAACCCCCCAAAAAATTCAAATCCCAAATCCCCCAAACCCCCCAAACCCCCCAAACCCTAAACCCCCCAAACCCCAAACCCCAAACCCCAAACCCCAAACCCTAAGCCCTCATCATCCCAAAAGGTGGCGCAAACACCTAAAACGCTAACCGAAACCAGGCCACCTCCCCCCGAACCCGAGAGACTGTCGAGTCGGTCCAGCCTGCCCTGGGTGACGCAACCTATTAGAGCCCCCTGGGCATGAAGCTTTTTGGGGTTTAGGGTTTAGGGTTTAGGGTTTAGGGTTTAGGGTTTAGGGTTTAGGGTTTAGGGTTTAGGGTTTAGGGCTGTTCAGAGAGCTTCAGGGTTTAGGGTTTCGGGTTTAGGGCTTGGGGCCCTATATCCCCAGGGTTTAGGGTTTGGGTTTAGTAGTGTTTGTGGCTCTAAATACCAATTGCCCCCAAAACCTTACAACCTTCGACCGTGAAGGCCCGACCTGTGGGAATTGTGGAGCGGTCGACTTGCCATCCGCTTGGCGCCAGAACCATACCTAGTTCATGGTTGGGGTGGTGTGAAAAAATAAGAGTGTTTATTCCTTATTGGGTTTAGGTACCCTTAAAAATGTAAAATGTTACCCAACTATGACAAAGATACGGGACAGCTGCTCCTCATCCATCCTGGGATGGGTCTAGGGTAGCACATGGGAGTGAGGCATTAGGGTTTCGGGCCTAGGCTCCGGGTTTAGGGTTTGGGGTCTAGGGTTTGTTTAGGGCAACCAAACTGCAAACATACAATCAAGAACCTAAGCCCCGCACCCTGAGCTTTTCTGGGCACTTTCTCTTGTGCCCCAAGTTCGGCGCGTGCGATTCCCTTCAAGCTCGGGGTCTACAGCCCGGTTCTGATCAGGGAACTGACGGTGTTAGGTCCAGGGTTAGGGCTAGGGTTTCCGGTTTAGGGTTGAGTTTCGGGCTATAGCTGGGATTGAGGGGTACTAGGTTTAGGGTTTAGGGTTTAAAGTTAAGATGTTAGGGTCTTTTGGCTAGGGTACTTAGTAGAGATAGGGGTGCCATAAACATCAGTTCTTGGTTCCATAATTCCTATGAAGAAACCAACACGCTTGTTGAGGGCATGCTCAGGGTATGTAGGGTTCGATTGTCTTCCTCAGACTTCAAAGCTTCGAACCCTAACCCCCCCAAAAGCCCCCAAACCCTAAACCCTGCAAACCCCAAATTCTAAGACTAGTTTCACGGGCCCTTAATATGGTCCCTTACCCTCTTTAAAGGGTTCTGAAGTATGGGCCCTGAAATTGTGTAGGGTAGATGAGGGGTATAAAAGGGGCCCCCTTTTAAGGCCCATACTAAGGGGCCATGAAACTATCCTTAGGTAAATCGCAGCAAGCATGCCTAGACAGCAGGTTAGGCGCTAAGTTCTAGGGTTTGTTTTTTTGGGGTTTTGGGTTGTTAGAATGTATGTTGTTGAGGGTAGAAGGGTTGAGGACTTTAGGGTGCAGGGGAGTAAGTCGAATCTTGGGGTGTAGGGTTTAGGATTACATTCTTGGGGTTGAGAGTTTATACGAGTTAGGGTCTGTTGATTCGCTAAAGCCGTCAAGGCACACGTTCTCGTCCAGGCGGAACTCAAACCAGCCGGCTCCTGTACACAAGGACGTGATAGGGGGTTAACCCCAAACCCTACATGTAACAAGGAAACCCAAACACAACCCCACGAGCCATCAGGACGTAGGCTTCGACGCACAAGGACACCTTGTACCCTAAACCCCAGCCCCCTACACCCTAGACCCCTCCACCCCCTAAACCCTAAACCCTAAACCCTAAACCCCAAACCCCATAAAACCCCAAACCCCTCAAACCCCTAAACCCCTCAACTCTTCACCCATCAACCTGCCGAAGACCCGGCAAGAACCATCGAAGCGCTTGGGGTGCACCTTTCGTGGCCGAGCCCTGCAGCGCTAGCAGCTCACCTCGGATTTCGGTTTAGGGTTTAGGGATTGGGGATTGGGGTTTAGGGTTTAGGGTTTGGCGTTTAGGCTTTAGAGTTCAGACTTCAGGGTTTAGGATTTAGAGGGGTCCAGGGCTTAGGGGGTTGGGGTTTAGGGTACAAGGCGTCCTTGTGCGTATCGGGGTTTGGGGTTTAGGGTTGTTTCCCATTATAGAGGTGCCCATACGAAGTTTCTAGAAGGAAGCTCTGGGATTTTGCCGGAGTGCCCGACCTAAACCCCTAGTGCCCTACCGTCCCTTTTCCTGCAGGGACTAGCTTCTAGGGTGTAGCATTTACGGCTTGGCTCCCCTAAATCTATCCTTTAGGCAGTCTACCCCAATGGTTCACTGACTAGAACCCACGACTTTCACATTGGGACTGCCTATCTAAGGCAAGGGGGACACCCTGAAGCACGGCGTGTCATACTGACATGCCCCCTAACAAAAACTGTTGTACTGAAAGCTATGGTTGCGCGGCAGAATCTACCCTAACCCATAAAAGCGCACCTGAACCCCTAAGACCTAAAACCTATTCAACCCCTAAACCCTCAACTCTCACCCCAAAAGCCCTAAAAAACAAAACCTCGGATTTTGCAGACCCTCAGGATCCGCGCGCCTCATGTTACTTGGGCCCCAGAGTCCCTATACAGCAAGTACTTTAAGGTCCAAGTCCTAGTCCCTATAGACCCTATGGGACCTATGGGCCGTGTAGGCCCTAGAGACCCTATAGACCCTATAGACCCTATAGACCCTAGACCCGAAACCCTCCCTATTTCGGTAGATGGACCCTTGGGGGGGAATCATGCAGCCGGGGGAACCAAGGCGCGCCTCCGCCTGACTTGACGCATCGCCGAAGATCCCTTCCTGCACCTTTGCTGGGGGGAAAAGGGGGCCAAGTTTAGGGTTTAGGGCTAGGGTTTAGGGACAGGGTTTTGGGTTTAAGGTTTAGGGTCTAGGGCCTAGTTGCTAAATGCCTGGATGTAATACTGCATGGATGCATGAACTACCTCCGAACGCCATGATGTGCAGGCTCACTATGAGCATGAACGATCACCTTGCTGTACGGTGTGCACAGATGTACTTGCAGGTTCGCTTTGTGGAGGATAAGCCGCACCGATCTCATGCTGCTTCGGGATTTAGGGCTTTGTACAAGGTTTATCGGGCTTCGGGCTACGCACTGGTGTCTTTGGCTGACTTCGCACAACATGTGGTGCAGACTGTCCTGATTTTCCTTGCAGTGGGACCTCTGAAGGGGCCCTCAGGAACCATGTACCTACACAGTATATACTTGGGCCCTAAAGCTGCTACATAGGGACCTCTTTACAAAGCCCAGCATATGCTAAAAATGTGTACATGGATCCCTAGAGGCGGAACTTCTTTGAACGACCATGTGTGGAAATATGGAATATTTGGGCCTGAGTAAAGCGCTTGCTACTTAGGGCCGTTGGGGCCCAAGTATGGACCAATATGGTACATGGACCCTTAGGGTACAAAACCCTGAACCCTTAAACCCCTTAAAAAACCAAAAACACCCTAAAGGCCCAAGGCCCTAAAAAAAAAACAAACAACTAAAACACTTAAACCAAAACAAACAACCTAAAACACACAAAAACCGGGCCTGCTCGTTGACGAACATGAGTGCCTCCTGCACATCTGCAGTGCTTGGGCAGCCATCCAAGCTGCCAATCTTGCCCACGCCTCAACAGCAGCAGGACTTAGGGTTGAGGGTTTAGGGTTCAACAAACTGCAAAGCCCCTTTACGCACTTTCAATGAAGGTTTGATGTTCGAGATAGGTCCAACCCAGTTACACGCGCGCACGGGCTCATGGGCCCACGGGCCCGCCACGGGCCCACACGGGCCCACAGGCTCACGGGCCTACACGAATACCCAAAATCAGATTAAGAAAAAAGCGCTTCAGAAAAAGATATGTGTGCGAATTCAATACTCATGACCCCCCTGAACATGTTTCACTTGTCTTGTCGTTCGAGGGGACACACAGCTTAAGACAAGATGCTTAGACTAAAGAAAAGATGCTCTTCAGAATAAGATACGTCTGCGGATGTAATGATCATGCCCCCCCCCTTCACCCCCGACAAAAAATAGGTACATTTGTCTTGTTGTTGTCTTGTTGTGGGAAGAGGCGTGTAGTTTAAGATGAGACACCTAAACTACAAATTAAAACTTGCAATGAAACATTTACTTCTTCACGATGTGGAAAATTTTCCGTTGCCTATGGCCTATGGGGCGCAACACCAGATTCAGAAAAGATGTTCTTCAGAACAAGATACATCTGCAGATGTGATACTCATGCCCTTCCTCAAAATGTTGCATCTGTTAGTCTTGTCGTTCGAGGGGGCACAGAGCTTAAGACAAGACACTTAAACTAAGAAACCATGCGCTTCAGAATAAGGTACGTTTGCAGATGGAACACTCATGCCCCCTCGCGAGAGAATAAAGGCTGCTTTTGTCTTTTTGCTGGAGGGGGTACACGGTTTAAGACGAGGCGCCTAAACCAAGTAATCGTGCGATGTGACACTATTTACGGTTTCAATGTCGCTTCTTAAGGACACGGGAAGCATGCTACCACGGATGAGGGCAAAGAGATTAAGAAGATACTGCACGTAAATCTACGGTTGCGTTGGAAAAATCCTTGCGAAGGTCCGAAGACATTAAGATGACACGTTCTGCGTATTAAACTAAAACCTGCGGATGCAATACGAGTGCCCAAGAAAATTGAACACTCTACACCCTAAACCCTAAACCCTCAATCCTAAACCCTAACCCCTAACCCCTAAACCCTAAACCCTAAACCCAAACCCCAACCCCAAAAAGCCCGAAGCCCCAAGGTGCCGATCCCAGCGGCGAGGCGTGCGAGCTTTGATGCCCTCGTTGGGATCCCAGGGCTTCCAGTCGCCATCCTTTTGGGATGATGAGGGTTTAGGGTTTAGGGTTTAGGGTTTAGGGTTTAGGGTTTAGGGTTCAGGGTTCAGGGTTCAGGGTTCAGGGTTTAGGGTTAAGGGTTTAGGGTTTAGAATTTAGGGCCTTCTGGGCTTTGGGGGCTTTGTGGTTTTGAGGGTCTGGGGGTCTAAGGGCTTAGGGCCAGGGTTTCGGGGATTTACTTGGCAAAAGGGGGTTGAAGAGGGTCTAGGGGTTGGAGGTTCTGGGATTTTTTTTGCTGTTAGAGGGGCTAAAAGGTTGGCCTTGTCGAACTAGATACACAGGATTGTCGAGGACAACTCCAAAAAGGACGCCCCATATTGCACTCAGCAATATGGGTATATCGCAAAATAGGGGCACCCCTTCATACCCTAATTAGAAAAGAGTCCCTTAAAGGGACCCCCCCAAAAAGGGTACCCCTCTTTTTGGGGAAACCCCCATATGTGTAATGAGCCATAAGCTCAGTAAATTGCAGCAAATCGACCCTGCTTGATGTACCTTTTGCTGGCAGCTGTGTTCCTCTTTCCGGGTTCCCCAAAAGGAAGCCCTAAACCCTAAACCCTAAACCCTAAACCCTAAACTCTACACCCTAAACCCTAAACATTAAACCCTGAACCCCAAACCCTAAACCCTAAACCCTAAAACCCTAAACCCTAAACCCTGAACCCTAAACCCTAAACCCTAAACTCTAGGTGGAGCTTTTAGGCTCTGGGGCCCCTATGCATTCCAAAGCCGCGCCTAAGTTCCGTTGGGGAAGTTTTCGATGTCGAGGGGCATACAGGCCGGCTTCCCGCTCGCGGATGAAATAGTCGATGCCTTTGGGTTTAGGGTTTAGGGTTTGGGGTTTAGGGTTTAGGGTTTGGGGTTTAGGGTTTGGGGTTTAGGGTTGGGGTTTGGGATTCGGAGTTTAGGGTTTAGGGCTTTTAGGGAGGTGAAGGTTTTTGGTGTGGTCTCGGGCGGTTTCGGGCTTACGAGGCTTTAGGGTCAGGCAGGCTTTGTATATCAGCAAAGTCAGCAAGGTTCAGAACACGGGAACGCTCGATGCAAACTGGGCACGCCACGATTCGCGCCAGCTCAAAGCGACTAGGATGTAAGCTCTGCCCCATAAGCCAATGATAGGGAGTGGCTAAGCCCAAAGTAAACCCTAAACCCTAAACCCCAAACCTAGGGTTATCCTCTGAGCGCGAAGCACCCCAAAGTTTCTGAGTTCTATGTGAAGGTCCAGGAAGGTCCACGAAGAAGCCCCTCTCTGACTCAGAATACGCAACTGAAAAACTATACCCATGAACCTCCGAGTAAGCCCTTACAAAAAAACATGAGAAAACCGTGAATAAGCCGATATACCACCCAAAATACTCTAGTCCTTCCCTCTGGGACGTACATCCATTCTGGGAAGGTTTCAGGGCGCAGGGTTCAGGGTGGTTTAGGGCTTAGGGCTTAGGGCTTAGGGTTTAGGGTTTAGGGTTTAGGTGCTCTGAGCCTGCAGGCACAGCCTCACCCAAGGTTGTCTTCGGAGGTGCTTGTCCAGCAGGGATCCTGCGCCGAAGATGCTTTGCGCTTCGGCTCCAGGATATAGGGTTTAGGGTAAGTGTATCAGGGAGCATCTGGGCTTTGAAGGGTTTGCCTAGGACTCTTTGAGGATTGCATTTGGATTTAGGACTTGCGTGCCAACGGAAAGGCCTGGAGAAGTTGAAGCGCTGGCGCATGAGCTTTAGGAGCACTGCCCTGAAATGCACATCGAGCTCCGAGAAAGGCGCCAATCAGTCATATTTGAGTACACCCCAGCGCACTTCGTGGTCTGGGCATGTCATGCCGGTCCCGACTCCGCTCATCAGGAGCTGGTTCAGCATGTCTGCTAGCCTCAGCAAACTCACACGCCAAAAAGCCAACACCGCTTCGCAACTCCATCGGCAAATCAGGGTGTTGTCCTAGTCAGCCTGTCGAGGTCGTGATCGCATCCACTAGAAAGATGCCTTGAACCCTAAACCCTAAACCCTAAACCCTAAACCCTAAACCCTAAACCATCCTGCATGAACCCTCAGCTTGAACAGCTAGCGCTCCTCAAGTTTGAAAACTCCACGGCCCCACCTATGCAACAAACAAGCCACAAGCCGTCAGAGCTGAAGTTGGGGGCTCAGGGTTTGCGGTTTAGGGTTTAGGGTTTAGGGTTTAGGGTTTAGGGTTCATTCATAACGCCCCTATAATCCCCCCAAAATAACCCCCATATACTCCCCTATAGTCCCCCCCCCATTACCATACTCCCTCTATAATCCCCCACATACTCAAGAAAAAGGGAAGCCCCTGACCCTAAGGGTCCATGTACCCATATAGTATATACTTGGGGCTTAAAGGGGTTCCCATATGGTAGCTTTTAGGGCCCTAATATGTTCTATATAGGTACATGGACCCTTAGGGTGACACACTGGTCTGAGAGGCTCGGAATCATCGCAGTACAGGCCATCGTCGGAGTCGTCGTCGATGAGCCTCCCCCGGACACAGCCATTTAGGGCTTAGGGGGCTTACTTGGAGGTTCAGGGTACTTAGCAACCCAATTATAACTGCACTTGTAACCCAATTGCAAGGTTCTAGAAGTGCCCTGAATCTGAACCTCCAACTAGGGTTTAAGATCCCCAGCTACGGAGAAACTCGGGACTCGTGTGCTCGCGGAGAGCAACTATTGCGTTCAGGGCCTCCGCCAAACCCTCAGGGCCCAAGACCCAAAGAATCTTAAACCCTAAACCCTAAACCCTCAACCCTCAACCCTAAACCCTAAACCCTAAACCCTAAACCCTAAACCCTAAACCCTAAACCCTGAACCCTTAGTCTTTGCGCCTCAACACAGCAAACAAAACCATCCTGACATCATGGGGCCTCTTCGCCCAAAGCCTCCCAATCCAAGCGCCATGCACCCGAGAAAAAGGGCTTAGGTTTTTAGGGTTTAGGGTTTAGGGTTTAGGGCTTTTTAGGGTTTAGGGTTTAGGGCTTTTAGGGTTTGTAGGGTTTTTAATGTTTAATAGGGTTTTTTATGTTTAAGGATAAGGGAAACCTACCCTTCCCCACCCCCAAGCTCGCACCGGGAGAACGCGGTGAAGTCGCATCCTTGGGCCTCGCAAAGCACCTCCTGAGCTATGGCATTTGGGGTTGACAGGGTTTATAGGGCTTGTAGGGTTTATAGGGTTTAGGGGTTTAGGGGTTTATAGGGTTTATAGGGTTTATAGGGTTTATAGGGTTTATAGGGTTTATAGGGTCTATAGGGTTTATAGGGTTTAGGGCGCAAACCCTAGACCCTGAACCCTACACAAGGTTTTCAAGGTGTTGGGGGTTTATGCTTAATTAAGGAAAAGAAGCCGAGGTTTAGGTCCGAAGGGCGACCGAACCTCAAAACCTCCCACCTTTCAAACTGGAACCGTCAGCACCAGTGAGAAGAATAACTCGATGTAAGCGCCCCCTGTGTCGGTGCTTGCGTGCGATCGCAGTGGGGCCTGATTGCTTTCAGAGTACGGTGGCTCAGAATGAGAAAAAGGATCGCTTAATTTTTTCTTGCTGAGCCTTTGGACTTTGGGGGCTTCAGGCTAAGGGCTTGGGAAGTTCTAGGGCTCAGGGTGTGAAGGGTCCCCTTGAGGTTCTTTAGTGGCTTGATGGGAACGATATGCCGTTCTTTTTCTTCTGGACCTGACAAGGGAATCTACTCCGCCCCCATCCCCCCCCCCAACAAAAAAAACAAAAAAAGGAATTAGGGCGCTACTGGCCGTCCTAGGCTTACCAGCCCAAATGAAGCCAATCTTCGAACTCCCCGGCCCAGTCTTCGTCGGTACCTGGCATGGCAGGGCAAAAGCAATTCCACAGCTGACCTGTCTCCAGACTACTTAGGGAAGTAGGTTATAACTACGCTTATAATTGGGCTACAAAGAATTAATCCCTAAACCCTAAACCCCAAGCCTTAGCCCTAAACCCGAAACGCCCCCTAAACTTTTAGCTGCCATATTCAGAAACCCAATAAACCCAAAAAAGGCTAAGGATCTAAAGTTACAGCAAAACACTACAAAGCTCTGAGCCCTAATCCCGAAGCCCTTCAGGGGGTATTCGGTTTAGGGCATTTTGGAAGCAACCGAGAAGACTCATTCTCGTGCGACCTTCGGACGACGGGGAAGATGGGTTAAGCACTCCACTATTTGCTGAAGAACGCCAAAAACACAAGAAATAAATCCGTCTATTACCCTTGTAAGGAAGATCTTTGTTGTTCTTTTTGTTTTGGGCGGGGGGGGGGGGGGGGTGGTTGTTCAGCAAATGGTAGCACTAGCCTTGAAGCCCAAACCCTAAAGCACATCCGAACTTCGTAGCAAATAAACTTGACGATGCACGGAGAGGTTTGAGTGTGTATGTACATATGTCTCAACCCGAAACCCGAAACCGAAGCCCTAAACCCTAAACCCTAAACCCTAACCCCCCCCTAAAACCTAAACCCTAAACCCTAAACCCTAAACCCTAAACCCAGGGTCAGCTCGGCCCTTTCCTGGTTCCCTTGAGAACACGGACTAGATGAGCTTGAACTGTACCTTAAGAGTCCTAAACCTGCTTTTTGTAGGGTTCATATGAAGTAGGGTACATATTTCTTGTACTGCGGACTCGAGGTCGTGCATCATATGAAGGTGAGACAGCTTAGATTTGTGTTAAGCACGGTTAGCTATCTATTTCTTGTACCCCCAAAAGGACACCAGGTACATGCACTCACCCAAACTAAAAGAAAGGATCCTTCTATACACTCACCAATTACAATATTATAAACCCTGCTTCATATACATACCCCTTATACGATTCCTAGGCTACCAAACAAAACTAGGAGCCAGGCAAAGGCCAGTGAGTCGAGCAACCCCGTAGGGATTTAGGGTTAAGGGGTTTTAGGGCTTAAGGTTTAGGGACGGTCCCTAAACCCTGTCCGACCGACCTCGGTAGGTTTCAGCCCCAAAAAATGTCAACCGAAAAACCCAAAACCTTCTCAGGCCATGACCTTCGAAGCCAGTGAGCTCCGCAAACGTCTTCATTTCAGCGCGATTCAGGCGCCTCCAACATCAGGGCTTGCAGTGTGCTAAACTTGGGTCACCATTACCTGCTTTTTGTTGGTGCTCCTGCTATTTGTACAGGTACAAGGAATGCTGCCCTAAAGCCCCGCACCAAAACGGGTAGATAGGCCATTGCTATTGGGTGATCTGCGGAGGGGGCATATGAGTCTTCCTTAACTGTGGCCGAGAATTCCGTTCTTCCTAGATTACGCATGCCGAACATAAAGAAATAGATAAATGAAATATATATATATACACCAAGCGTTTACATGTGTGTATTTATTGCGCATTTCTGTATGCCTCTTCCTAGCTATCAACCGTTATGGGCTCATTGAAGCCTGCTTTACACGTTTCTCAACGGGCTGCGTGTTGGGTGGGGTGGGGTGTTGAACAGTTGCGTCCCTGGATGTCGGAATTTGTTCTTGGGGGTCTCTACTTCGGAACGCTGTAGCTCAACATATTGTTGGCCGACGTCACTAGAGCTCCGCGGAAACCGATTGCTTAACATTGCCTTAACATCTCAGAAAAAAAACCGAGGGCGGTTGATGTGTTTGACAGCCTCGCATAGGAAAATCTCCACCAACAAATAGGCGGCATTGTGAGGTTTATGCACATTGACATGCAAGCTCAAGAGTCCCAGCAGTTGTCCTTCGCTTTGTTCCGGTCGAACTTCACTACAGCAGGGGTTGTAATAATCCTGGGAAAGCTCTGCGTCCCTAACGGTCCATGTACCACATGCTTATATACTCAGGCCCTGTAGGCAAGCCCTTCAAGGCCCAAGTACTCCCTGTTTGGGGGTTCACGAACATAAGGGACGTCTAATACAGTCCCCTAAATAGCAGGATTCCCATTTAGGTACATGGACCTTTAGGTAGCCCAGTAACCATATTACAATAAGGGCACCCTTCTTTGGGTTGGTCATTTTATAAGGGAACCCAAAACCACAAAAAGGGTAAAGAGTAAATACCTTCAGGGGGTATTGCCATGGGATCGCTGACTCAACCCATTTGCTCGACGCGGCCCGCTTCCTTTTCAGGATGCAACGGCCCGGACTGGGCGCAAAGCGAGTATATCTGGATCCAAGACCCTAAGCCCTAAAGACCCTAAACTAAACCCTAAACCCTAAACCCTAAACCCTAAACCCTAAAGATTTAAGATCCCAAGACAGACCTTGAACCTAAGCTTCAACCCTAAACTCTGAACCCTATACCCTTAACCTTATACCCTAAACGCAAAACCCTAAACCCTTTTGAGGTGTCAAGATTCCCAGAGACCTGGAATCTTGAATCTTGGATCCGGCCCAAAACTTGAAAACTCAACATTGGGATTTTGAACTTGACATAATTTTCGCCGGGAACATAGACTCTCAGACTCTCCGATATCAAGTCTTGGTTTTAGTTGCCCCCCGCCCCCACCCCACCCCTTCCACGTGGAGAACAAACATGCTTGAGTTGGAAGCTGCGGATATGACGCAAGGGACACTCCATCGATGACTTGGCGATTGGACCTTCCACAAAAAGACCATTTTCCATAGTCCCTATATTGCCCTCACAAGGAAGAATTTTGAAAGAATTTTGAATTGCTTTTGTTGCGGGGGGGGGGGGGGTTCCCTATTTTGGGGTAGACCCTGGAAAAAAGTCTATACCTTTCAGGTATAAGTAGCTATAACAGGAACCCAGAACCAAGAAAAGTATTACAGTATACTCCTCCAAAAACCAGGTTGCTGAAGCAAGGAGTACAGAAGCACCCTAAACCCTAAACCCTAAGCCCTAAACCCTAAACCCTAAACCTTTTAAACCCCAAACCCCAAACCCCAAACCCCAAACCCCAAACCCTAAACCCTAAACCCTAAACCCTAAACCCTAAACCCTAAACCCTAAACCCTAAACCCTACGCCCCTCCTAGGAGGTGCCTGTCTCCATCCTGGTCCAGGCAGCTGAAGAGCGTCGACTTGACTTCCGGTCGGGCCCTCAGTTAGGGTTTAGGGTTTAGGGTTTAGGGTTTAGGGTTTAGGGTTTAGGGTTTAGGGTTTAGGGTTTAGGGTTTAGGGTTCAGCATCTCAAGTTCGAGCATTTACTAGGCCAGCAGTGTGTGTAGGCAACGGAAAAAACCCACCCGCTCAAAGAATCCCATAACATTAAGAAAATTAAAGTTTTCTTAATTTCTATTCAGACGCACCAAGAGGCCAAACAATCACCGAAACGCCAAACTCATGCTGAACAATGGGGGCCAAATGGGTCAGACGGGTCAAAACGCCGAATTCGTGCTGAAAAATGGGGGGGCCAAACGGGTCAGACGGGTCAAAACGCCAAATTCGTGCTGAACAATGGGGGTCTAAACGCCAAATTCGTGTTTAACATTTAGGGTTACATGTTAGAGAGGTTTAGGGTTTAGGGTTTAGGGTTTAGGGTTTAGGGTTTCGGGCTTCGGGCTTGGGGTTTGGGGCCTGGGGCTTGGGGGCATTTGGGGGCGCCTACTCAGATGCCATACAAATTTGAAGGTAGACGCCGCCGAATAGAGATCTGGCACCAGACTCGAAGCTATTCTGAGAAAGCACGACCCTCCGAACAAAAAACAAAAAAAACACTGAACCTCTCTGATTCCGGAACAGCTGAACCCGAAAACCCTAACAAACCCAAAACACTGAACTTTGAAACTCACCTACAGTGACTTCGGCGCCAAAGTATATACCATTGACTCTTGATGCACAAGGACCCTTGCAGAAAGCCTAAACCCTAAAACCCTAAAACCCTAAAACCCTGACACCCCAATACCCTAAAACCCTGACACCCTGACACCCTGACACCCTAAAACCCTAAAACCCTAAAAACCTAAAACCCTAAAACCCTAAAACCCTAAAACCCTAAAACCCTAAAACCCTAAAACCCTAAAACCCCAAAACCCCAAAACCCTAAACAACCATGAAACATCTGAAGCCGGGATGCATGGCGAAGGGATCCACTCCGGTAGCTCGAAGCGCCTATCGAGAGCATTCGGATGTAGGGTCTGCTTAAGGGCGACAAGGGCTCTTACCCCAAACCCTAAACCCTAGACCCTAGACCCTAGACCCTGAACCCTGAACCCTAAACCCTAAACCCCACACCTTAAACCCTCTTGCTTTAGGGTTTATTGGGGTTCAAGGACCATGCTAGACAAGGTTCGGCCTTGTCGAGCCGAAAGATTCGGGGTGAAGGGCCTTGGGGAACGCAAGCGCTGAGTGTTTCGGGCAAGTAGAAGCGTAGTGATAACCCACTTATAATAAGCCCCCTTAAGGGCCCTTATAGGGCTATAAATGGGTTATAAGGACACTTATAAGCCCCTGAAGGGCCCTTCTAGGGCTATAAATGGGCTTATAAGGACAGTTATTAGAACTGGGTTGATAAGGACCATGGACCTCCAAGTAGAGCTTTTGGTACCCTGCAGCCTAAGGTTTAGGGCTTCGGCTTTAGGGTTTAGTACTCAGGGTACCTGGTTGGCGATCCCCTTGTCAATTGTTCTCAAGGGTTGGGCAATGGCCATCTATCCAATATGGGGGCTTGTTTCTCAAAATTATGGCTTCCTCTTTTTTTTTTCTTTTTTTTTTTGGGGGGGGGGGGTCCTCATGCTTGCTTTGGAGCATATAAGGGGTACTCCCCCCTGGAACCTTAAAAGCGAAGTTTAAATATTTCCATCTTTGAGGGTCTTTGGACTGCTTGTCTTTGAGCATCCCTCACTTTCAGCTTGTGTTCCACGAGATTGGACAAGCCTGGTGTTTGCGGGGCCTAGAGCAACCAGTTCTGGACTCTGCCATAGACACATTCAGAAGTGTTTAGGGTTCAAGGTTTAGGGTTTCGGCCGTAAGGCCTATCACACAACCACTGCAGCATCCAAATATAGCAGGCGCAAGAAAGTTCGGGACTTCTGCGCTGCGCGAAGCAGTCCGGGCATAGTAAGGGGTGGTGCCAGGTGACCGGCCGTCCAAAACCTGAACCGCACCAACCTGCCTCACCGTTTGATGATTCAGAGGCACGGGGTTGTTAGAGCAGTTTAGGGGCTTAGGGTTAAGGGTTTCGGGTTTAGGGTTTTGGGGCTTTAGAATTTGCATATGGTGTCTAGGCGAAACCTTGAACCCTAAACCGCTTAAACCCTAAATCCTGAAACCCTAAACAGTCTGTAAACCTAAACGCGCCGAGCTGGGCCACTGAAGCGCGCCGCGAAGGTCTGTCTGGTGCTCCGCCAAACCTTGCTCCGATTTGCGGAAGCGAGAGAGGCAAAGAAGTCCTTACCCTAAGGCTCTAAAGACTCTTGTTTTGGGTTTTTGGGCCCAAGGCCTTCTTATATTCGGTTTGGGTTCATCTAGGCCCACGAGTAACCTAGGAATACAACGGGGTGCCCTTTTTGGTTTGAAGGGGCTTATCAGGGAACCTAGTGTAAACCACCCCACAAAGGGGATAAGGGCCTACTTTGGGTGCTTGTCATACAGGCCTAGTTTCAGGGATATTCCTTAGTAAGGGGTTGGTGGAGTCTCGAAAAAGGCTCTAGCTTTGAAAAAAGCTGGAAAAGGGTGTAGGGTTTAGGGTTTCATCAGGGGTTTACGACTCTCTAGCTTTTAGCTTTGGTATGTGCTAGCTTTCGGCTTTGAGAGGATGTAAGGAAAATCATGAGAACTCCAACTATTTCCCCCTGCAAGGTGTGAGTTTTGCTTCTCACATGGAATGCTGGGGTTTAGGGTTTAAGGTTTTGAGTGTTGAAGATTACTTAGGTTCGGGTGACATGTCGTTTTTTCCTTCAGCTTCTCACATAGAATGGCACATTCCTTTTTCATAGCTTAGCTTCCAGCTGGCGAGCAAGCCTTTCTACTTGCTCAGAGTCGAACTCATTCAGGAATTGGCCGCTTTGAGTTAAGCCGGAGATGATGTGCGTCGGGTTCAACCGAATCATCTGACGGAGCGTAGTGATCATATCCTGTCGGTTCCCAGGATAGGGGTGGAACGTGACCGGCGCGCTAGCGAGTCGACCTTTCGTGTCCGCATACAGCGTGTCTCCAGTGAATAGAACCCGGTAAACCTTGTCGGAGCTTTCCCACAAGAAGCTGGTGACGCCAGTGGCATGGCCAGGCGTGTGGTATGCACAGAGGTCATCATCAAAGGACCAGTGGTCCGAGTCATACGTAAACTCGACAGCAGCTCCCTTCTGCTCAATGGCCTCCTTCTCCCTGGCGTGGCAGAAGACAGGTGCGTCAAGAACGCGGCAGAAGGGCGACGCCTCATCCTTGGGGACGAAATGTACCCTAAAATGGGGGGTCATATACCCTATACTACTATAATTCTTACTAGGGTATATGAACCATAAACCCTTTTAGGGTTCATTTCGTCCCCAAGGATCGCGATGGTTGAGCAGCTGCAGGTCGACGCCGCCTAGCTTTTGAATGTGATCCGCATGCTCGGCAACATGCGAGCTGGCGTACATCCAGACATTCCCTCCAGTCGGCGCCTTCGGCACATCCCTGCCCAGCTGGAGTCGACCTTGCCTATCTAGTTCATGGTTGGGATAGCATGAAAAATCTAAGTGTTTATTCCGTATAGGGTTTAAGTGCCCTTAAAAATGTAAAATGGTACCCAACTATGACAAAGGCCTCTGGATAAGAAATGCGGCCGTTTTGGTTACAGTTCCCCCAAACGGCAGCTCGACGCGTGACATCCAAACGCTCGGCAGCACCGAGACCAAGCGGCTGCCGGCTTTCGCCATGGTGGGGCTGGTTCGCTTACTTCCCCAAAGGGTCCTAAGTACCTGCATAGTAGAAAGTAGGGTTTCTATAATCGGAATTACTATTATGGTTTGGGTAAGTGAGCCCCATATAGGTACTTAGCATTCTTTGGGTTCTCCAATAACCAACCCAAAGGATCCATGTTCCTATAAGGTATATTCTTGGGCCCTAAAGCTACTATATAGGAACCCCCTTTAAGGCCCAAGTATATACTATATAGGTACATGGATCCTTTGGGCAAGGAATGGCTTAACATGCAACACATTGCTTACTCGAAACACGGCAAAGAGTTGAAAGTTCGGGAATTGGGTGCGTAAGTTCGAGTGTCCATCAGAGACAATAGCATACTCGCACGCGCTTGATGATTTGACAGAAAAGTTGAGCAGCAAAGGCCCTCATCGGGTGCCAATTCGGCATGGTCAAGCTGAACTTGATCATGGGTGGGGAAAGAAGCAGCAACCCTAAACCCCAAACCCTACCCCCAGTTAATAATTATTGCTTCACCAGGCAACGCCCTGCACCTGAACACCAAATACTGATTTCCCCTACTTCCAGCCAACCTTAAACCCTAAACCCTAAACCCTAGACCCTAAACCCTAAATCCTAAGCCCTAAATCTGCTTCCCATGCCAGTGACCTCCAAGGGGGCCGGCTGAAGCCCCTGGTGTCCATCGATATCCTCAAAGAAGATCGGGGACGGGTTTAGGGTTTGGGGTTTAGGGCCTGAGGGTTTAGGGTTCAGGGTTCAGGGTTTAGGGTGTAGGGTGTAGAGTTTAGGGTTTAGGGTAATCCTGTACATTTGGGTTCATTCTGGGTCCTATATATAGTACGGCACCCTTGCAATAAGGACCCTGAAGTGGAGAACTGCCCGTTTAGGGGCTGGTTTAGGCTTGGTTTGGGGTTCAGGGTTTGAAAGGGTTTTAGGGCCTCTCCGGGTCCATGTTGCAATACGGCACCTTTTCGTGCACACCACAAGAGAACGAGTCCCCGATTGTAGGATCCGGCCAGATGCTTTTGTGTTGGTGCTTAAGCCCGGGTTTCCAAAACCTTAAGCCTTGCGCTCGAAAACGCAAACCTTTTTGAGGATGCTCAGAGGGCTGCTATCCGTGCAAAGGAAGAGCAGGAAGCGACCAAGACAACCCGAAAACCGAAAGTTAACCAATCAAATCTTCCAGTCTTTTCGGGCATCTGTGCGACGTCTCGGAACTTGTGTACCCCAAACCCTAAACCCTACCCCCTAAACCCATCTGGTCGAGTACTGTTTGAGCGTTGTCGGGAACTTCGCTGCTTCTGCATCTTGCGCGAAACCATCAACCCTAACTCCTAACCAACCCAGGGAAGAGTAACTCTTAGATCCCTTGGAAGGAAAACCTTTCAAACTCCTGAAAGCCAGGCCCCTATTCCTAAAGAGCTCGAGCCTTGGGGTCTTAGGTCCCAAGCCCTGAAACCCAAAAATCCCTTTAAGCCCTTCCACTCTTCAGCCCTTTCAACCTTCAACGTTTTCCTATACCCTAAACCCTAAACCCTAATCAAAGCCAGTTCCATGAAGGTCCTCCTGCCATGTTGCGCGCACTGCCAGACCAGCACGGCGCAAAGTGCTGCTGCCAGCCTGCCACTCCCCTAAGGGTCCATGTACCTGTATAGTACATATTCGGGCTCTCAAGCTACCATATGGGAACCCCTTTAAGCCCCAAGTATATACTACATATATATATATATATGGGTACATGGACCCTAAGAGCTCTTGAATCTTAGTAACCTCGTATCTGTAAGAGATGGGACATATTCCTGTTGAGGTGCACTTCTCCTTTGTTTAGGGGTAGAAAGATCTCTCCAGGTAGGGCTTGGGCGTTTAGGATGGTTCAAGATCTACTTACTGGGCCCAGTTGTGTAAATCGGCTGGGTCGAGTGGACGTCAACGACCATGATATCCTCACCCTAAACCCTAAACCCTGCACCCCTAAACCCTAAAACCAAAAACTCTGGGCCCAATGCCTGCGTGCGAGAGTGACGCCCTGCCCTCTGGCCAAAGAGCTCATGGCGCCAAATGTTGCCTGTAAAGCTGCCGAAAGTTGTTAGTTTGTCGTGGGCACGCTTGCCACCGAATCACTGGTCACCAGCCACTCCTGCTAAACATCCTTGACTTCTCTCACGTGTAGATGAGAGCCGGTGAACAATCTGCGGAGCTCTCAGAACGTCATCAACGTCATCCATGTCCATGTCCTCTGCGTAAGCCGAAATGAAGGAGAGTCTTGCTCAACATGATGCAGGAAACCCGTGCCCGTGCTTTGCCAACCGACTTTCGTACTCCAATGGCCTTGCATGCACGCAATGTCATGTACTCCAAGAACAGACGATCGCGAGGTGTGGGTCATGCCTTACACGTAGTGTTGCTGCGTACGGCCAGGTCACGTGTTATACACATCGCAGTATGTATATATATATATATGTCTATATGTATATATGTATACATACATGTGTACATCTCCCATGGCATGACGGAAGTGTCTTCAGATGCGACGTCAAGGAACCCCTCATCCTGTCCGTTGCGCCGCTTTGCGCTTTGAAGCGCGACAGACGTGATAAGGAGCCGACAGAACAGCGATGCTACCCCAAGAGTTCCATGTACCTTATTCGTAGATCTTTCGGCCCCAAAGTCCTTCCATAGGAGGTACTTTAAGGTATACAGGTATAATTACCCTATTTAGGTACACAAAACCCTAAACCCTAAACCCTAAACCCTAAACCCTAAACCCTAAAACAGGCCCAGAGGTATACCCTACTTAAAGGTACATGGACCCGTAGGGCTAGCGGGTCGCGAATGTTTCCAGGGGTCTGACATGACTTCGCGTCCCTCTGGTGGTTTAGGTTTCGGCCGAAACCCTAAACCCTATAGGGTTTAGGGTTTAGGGTTCAAGTCCAGCACGAAGCCCTCCGACTTCACAAGTTCATTCCTGGGGCCCGCCTGTTGGGTTGGTTGGGTTTTCGGGTGTGTATGTTTAGGGTTAGGGTTCAGGGGTTTAGGGTTCAGGGTTTGGGGGGGGCATTTTTCAACATCGAGTGGCGTGGCTTCTGCGTGCAGGCAGCTAAGCACCTCGAAGCTCGGTCCTTTGATGTGCATGGGGTTACGTGGAGGTTCATGGTACCTAGCAACACAATAAGTTATAAGTGCACTTATAACCCAATTGTAACCCAATTATGACCCTAGTCAGGGTGCTTAAGGAGCTTAGAAGTGGCTTCTCTAACTACACTTGAACCTCCAAGTATGCCGTGCACCCACTTGGTAGCGCAAGAGAGCGCTCAGCTCTTCGAACAAGCTAACATTGACTAGCTCAAATGTCGTGCCACTCATCTTTCGAAGGAATGAGAGGCAGAGTCAGAGCATTCAAAACGAGCCTGCTGTATGTTGTGACGCCGGCTGCGGGAATAGGTGCGGTTGCTAAGCCAAGCTCCTGCCTGACTTGCTTCCGCATGGCAGCTAGCGGCAGAAATCCCAAAATTGTATTGACCCGAAGGCCTACGAAGTTGCCTTCGGCAGGAACCTATAACTGTACAGCGCACAACTCGGAGGTCCTGCTGGGAAAAGCAAGCTGTCTTCCGGCGATCCACTCGTGGCCCGCTACCTGACAAGACAAGCCCATTCCGCGGCAGGTCACTGTCAAGATTGTCATATATATATATGTATTGTATAGATACACATATTCAATTCAACCCTAGACTCTAAACCTTTAAACCTTTGAACCTTTAAACCGTTAAACCTTTAACCATTTACACCTTTACACCTTTACACCTTGAAACCTTTAAACCTTTAAACCTTTAAACCCTTAAACCCTAAACCCTCTTGGGTCAAGGGCCTAGCTGCACAACACCAACACGAGCTGCAGGGTGAGGGTTTAGGGTTTGGGGTTTGGGGTTTGGGGTTTAGGGTTTATGGTTTATGGTTTCGCACACCTAAACACGAACACCTAAACGCAAAAAACCTCCAGTATGCCGGCAGGGCTCGCAAGCAGCGCTTTGATGGTGCCACTGATACCAAGCCTCTCCGGTCTGTTGACACTCAGGGCTTTGTACACTCTAGGCTTTTTTTTGTTGGCTTTTGTGTTTAGGCCGCCCAGTAACCTAGGCTAAAAAGGGTGCCCTTTTTTGCTTAAGGGGGTTTATACGGGAACCTAAACCCCCCCAAAAAGGGAATAAGGGTACTACTGGGCATCCTAGTGTTTAGGCTCCAAGCTTTTTGGGGTGGAATGAGTTCACCGCAACAGCATATGAGCCTGGCAATCGCCTTGAAAACGACGTGATCATCCCGGAATCCCCGCCCACCATCCATCCCTCAACCCCTTCTGCCAAGGAACATCGATACAATTTGGAGCCAGGCAGGCAGAAATCCGTCCTTCATGCTGCTCGGTTGGCACAAGGCAGGGCTTCGGTTCTAGGGGTTTCGGGTTTCGGGTTTCGGGTTTAGGGTTTAGGGTTAGGGACTTTAAGCCCCCGAAGCTGCTGAACACTGCACCCTTGCCCGGGGCCCTGAGACCTCACAGGGCTTCGAGACTTTCAATGATACAGGAGCATAGGAGACCAGGGCCCGGCGGGTGGGGGGTTTAGGGTTTAGGGTTTAGGGTTTAGGGTTTAGGGTTTAGGGTTTAGGGTTTAGGGTTTAGTAAGGGTTTAGGGTTTCGGGTTTAGGGTTTAGGGGTGGCATAAAT